TTGGAAAAAATTTTTACTATCTACCTTTGATTCCGGCGATTAGCAAATATCGGATCACGTATAATTGACGTCAGATGCCGTTGCAAAGCTAAATTTGTATTTTTTATAACGGTTTTTATTTTTTATTTGAATAATATGGCTGATGATTGCCGAATGGTATGAAACTTTTAGTTCCATCATAAAGTTGTATTTTTTTTCATTTAAATTAATTTAATATAATTTGATCTATTTTTTTTAGAAAAAAAAGATACTGATCACTCTTAAATAGACAAGAGTTGTATTTCCAGCAGTATACAACATTTATCAATATATATATATATATATATATATATATATATATATATATATATATATATATATATATATATATATGTATGTATAATATATATACATATATATATATATATATATATATATATATATATGTATGTATAATATATATATATATATATATATATATATATGTATATATATATATATATATATATATATATATATATGTATGTATAATATATATACATATATATATATATATATATATATATATATATATATATATATATATATATATATATATATATATATATATATATATGTATGTATAATATATATATATATATATATATATATATATATATATATATATATATATATATATATATATATATATATATATATATATATATATATATATATATATATATATATGTATGTATAATATATATACATATATATATATATATATATATATATATATATATATATATATATATATATATATATATATATATATATATATGTATGTATAATATATATACATATATATATATATATATATATATATATATATATATATATATATATATATATATATGTATGTATAATATATATATATATATATATATATATATATATATATATATATATATATGTATGTATAATATATATATATATATATATATATATATATATATATATATATATATATTTATATATATATATATATATATATATATATATATATATATATATATATATATATATATATATATATATATATATATATATATGTATGTATAATATATATACATATATATATATATATATATATATATATATATATATATATATATATATATATATATATATATATATATATATATATGTATGTATAATATATATACATATATATATATATATATATATATATATATATATATATATATATATATACATTTATTTATTTAATAATAATTTTTTCTATTTTAGGAAACGTTTTTGTACTTGCCCCTTTATCCTCTTTTTATGAAAAAATTATATGGGGTCTTGGCTAGAAAGTTAAGTTTCTTTGAAACTTTATTAAAATTAAAAGAAAAATTAAACAAGATTAAAATTGTAGAAACATAAATAACTTAACATATGGATATATAGCTTAGGTGGTAGCCACATATGGTTAACTTGTGACTTTAACACTTACACCACATAAGTATTATAAATCTCACCATATATGTATTATAATCATCTATGCCACACAATAAATTGAAATCACAGAGCAAATAATTTTATTAAAAAAAAATAAAAAAAAATAGAAAAACGTATTATATATAGCTTCGAATTTATTTGGAAACTCTTATAATATATTCTTTAAAAACTCTTTATTTTTTTCTTTTAAAAACACATACGGAAAGCAAATAACATCTGCCTAAATTTTTTGAAGACCTATTTTTTTTTTTTAACTATGAGTATTTTACATTTATTCTTGATTTTAGATTAAATATTGATACAACATTGTTACTTTTAGACAATATTTTAATAACTTGCATTTTCACTTTCCCTACTCGGAAACATCCTTTGGGCACCTATGCAACAAAGTCAAAATTTTTTGAAACTGGTCGAAACTGTAAGATATTTTAAATATAAATACTTTGATATATGTTTTATTTTTTTTGTCGTTGAAAATAACAACAGCTTTGCGCAAGTATGGAAAAAAACAATATTGGCCACCCTTAATATTAAACCGACCCACTGTGAAACGTAGTGTATACGTTGTGTGGTATAAAGAAGCAGAATTAACGAATTCAAATGAAAATTTTACGACATTATCAGAGTAATTAGAATCTTATTTTTCATTTAAAGTTTTTTATTATTATTATATTTTCTTTGCCGTATAATTAAATTTACAATGAGAAAAAACCATTCATGTATAAAAATTGGCCGGAGCAAGAAGAAGACATAAACTGTCTTATCGCCAAGCCCCGTTTACATTAACGTCACAAAGTTACAAGTTAAAAACTAAAAGGTTAAAAATTGAAGTACAATACAATATTAGTTCGATTTATTACTTGTGTCTTAAGACACAAGTAATAAATCGAATAAATGTTATTTGTCTGTTCAAAATTAATAGTATATATATTTTTTATTTTAATAAGAAATAAACAAGATACACAAGACAATAGTAAATGAGTAGTGATGACTTTTTCAGGTTTAATTATTTTAGGTG